TTTACATTTACATTTAGTCATTTAGCAGACGCTTTTATCCAAAGCGACTTACAATTGGGGGATACATAAAGCGATTCTTCTTAAAGAGGCAAACAGACACAAGAAGTGGTTGTAATACCAAGTTCTTAGACATTGTTCAAATAAGTACAAGCTAGAAAGAGAAGGAATAAATAAAGAGAGGTACTTTTTTATTTTATTTTATTTATTTTTTTAAGTATCTTTTCATTTTTTAAATCATTTCAAATATCAGTATTCAACACTTCATGTTTAAAATATCAAAACATTATTTATGCATTTGTAACTGCAGGGTAAAGCATTCCATGTCCCTCTAAGCTGCAATAACACGTGTAAATACATCTAAATGCCACTTCATATGCAACTTCTGCAAAGATGAATTTTATTGATACTGATTTCATTTGTTTAGTAACAGCCTAAATGTATTATTATTATAACTGACTGATTAAATGTAAGAATTGGACTCAAAAGATGATGTACACTTTTAGAAAAAATGGCTTTTATAAAGGTAAAAAATAAATTTAAACTAATTGGAAAATATAAATTTTTATCACTGCTGTGAACTGACCACACAGAATATGAAGAATATCAAAAACTTTAGGAGTCAGCTGTCCACGGTAGTCCTTAAGATGTCAGCACAATAACACACTCAGCAAAATATCGTCTAATTATCTTTATTGATAAAATCACAGAAAATATTGAGATATTATTTTTTGTCAATATCGCACACCCCTAGTACTGACTAAATGATTTGCAACAGTCACTATGTCACACCCAGTGTAGACGGCCTCAAACTGTTGGTGTATTTCTGTCTTTTTTTTTTTTTTGGCTAGTAGAAGTTATGAATGGCCGGTAACTTAAAACTGTAGTAGCCAAATTGGCTGGTGAGTGAAAAAGTTATTTTCAATCCCTGCTTATGAAAGAAAATTTGTAATTGCTATTTTTCTTTCCATGATGAAAAAGATTATCTTAAAACCAATTTCTTAAATCTTTTTTTTTTTTTTTACTTAAAATATGAAGTGAAATACTGCATTGTTAGCACCACCACACTTTAATAGCACATTTCTGATTAGGCTAATTTTACTGTTAAGCAAACCGATAATCCCAACCCCACCATGTTGTGACAAACTAGTTAAAATGCTCACGTTGTAACAGCACCACATAGTCACACAATGACAAATAAGTCCACACCTTTTGGACAAATAAGCCTACTTATAGTTCTGTCTGCATATTAAGCTGCAATACAAGAAAATATTTTACAAATTACACACAAATACACTAACAACTGCAATAACATACTGTACAAATGATAAAAAAAGACTAAGTTGTAGTAAAGTGTTCTGATGTGATTAATCCATTATCATACAGAATGTCAAAACCATTATGTTCAAGACATAAATTGTAGAATCTTTCCTACAGCATGCTAAATCAGGTAATGAAAACAAACCAAAAGTACAGGTGTAAATCGTAGCAACTGAGAAGATGAATTCTTTCCTCCTATCAGAACAACACCCCATTTATCTGTCATGGCTCTTTAGAAGATGAAGGGTATGAGAGATCTTCTTGATCTGGGGAAATCTTCGAACTTCTCATTATAGAACCTGGAAAACATTAGAGAAACCACATCTATTTTTCTAACACTTTTTTTAGTGCATCACTGCATTGTACTCTCAAAACCCAGTTTACTGAATGAATGATATACCAGATGAAAAATGATGTAAGTAATTTTCTCATTTATAAGTAATATTAATTGTACAAGGTGTTTTTAGTTTACCTGTGATGGTGATAGGCTCTCGGGCCTATGAAGCAAATTGTGAAAAAAGCAAAGGCAAATGCGGGTAAAGACC